AGCGACGACGGGCGAACGAGGCGCCGGGCCCCCCGCAGCACGGAGTTCCCGCGACGCGCGCTGGTCGCCCCGAGAGGGTCCCAGCGACGCGCGCGGGTCGTCCGCGGCGCGAGGCCAAACAATTAGTCGGGCAGTCGAGAGAAGGCGCGGCTCGGGGGAGACGCTCCTCAGGTCAGGCCTCGCGGATGAACTCGGTGAAGCCGAGCTCCCTGGCGAGGGCCGTCGCTTCCCTCCTGCACCGCTTCGTGCGCGCCGCAAACTGCTCCAGCTGCTTCCGCAAGCCCTGCGGCGGCCCTGCCAGGAAGAACTCGATGCGCGGCGCCCGCATGAGCAGGAGGTCCTCGTGGCGCGTGGCGCGCGAGAGCAGCACGTAGAGCTCCAGCCACCAGTCGTCGTCCTCCTTCTTGCCGTTCCCTACCTCGTGGCGGCCGCAATCCAGGATCACGCCTGGGCGACGTCGACCGAGGGAGCAGCGCGCCGGGCAGCCGACGGCCCAGGGCGAGAGTCCACAGGACCGAGAGATGGTCTGGCCGCGGACTGCTCGCGCCCCGGAGGTCTGGCCGCCCCCGGAGCGCCGTTCCCCCGCCCCGTCGCCTTCGCGCATGGTGCGCCCCTGGCACGCCACCGTGGTGATGACCCTGCCGTGCGAGAAATGCGGGGGGTGTGCCGAAATGGGTGGGGGTGACGCATGCGGGCGGCGGCACTGAGGCCTTCGGTGGAGCTCCCTATGGAGCCACGAAACGTGTGAGGGGTGTGCCGAAATGGGTGTGGGTGACGCATGCGGCCGCGGGCACTGGGGCCTTCGGTGGAGCTCCCTATGGAGCCACGAAACGTGTGAGGGGTGTGCCGAAATGGGTGTGGGGGACGCATGCGGCCGCGGGCACTGGGGCCTTCGGTGGAGCTCCCTATGGAGCCACGAAACGTGTGAGGGGTGTGCCGAAATGGGTGTGGGGGACGCATGCGGCCGCGGGCACTGGGGCCTTCGGTGGAGCTCCCTATGGAGCCACGAAACGTGTGAGGGGTGTGCCGAAATGGGTGTGGGGGACGCATGCGGCCGCGGGCACTGGGGCCTTCGGTGGAGCTCCCTATGGAGCCACGAAACGTGTGAGGGGTGTGCCGAAATGGGTGTGGGGGACGCATGCGGCCGCGGGCACTGGGGCCTTCGGTGGAGCTCCCTATGGAGCCACGAAACGTGTGAGGGGTGTGCCGAAATGGGTGTGGGGGACGCATGCGGCCGCGGGCACTGGGGCCTTCGGTGGAGCTCCCTATGGAGCCACGAAACGTGTGAGGGGTGTGCCGAAATGGGTGTGGGGGACGCGGCCGCGGGCACTGGGGCCTTCGGTGGAGCTCCCTATGGAGCCACGAAACGTGTGAGGGGTGTGCCGAAGTGGGTGGGGGACGCATGCGGCCGCGGGCACTGGGGCCTTCGGTGGAGCTCCCTATGGAGCCACGAAACGTGTGAGGGGTGTGCCGAAATGGGTGTGGGGGACGCATGCGGCCGCGGGAACTGGGGCCTTCGGTGGAGCTCCCTATGGAGCCACGAAACGTGTGAGGGGTGTGCCGAAATGGGTGTTGATGATGATGATGATGATGATGATGGGAGGGGGGAGGAGGCAGCGGGAGGAAGGAAGGAGAACGCGGGGCACCGTCTCTTCAAAACGAGGACCCAACACCACAGGATGGTTCGGGGGGCAGTTTCCGAGGGGCGAAAAAAAAGGGGGGGATGTCCCGCAAGGCCGGCCCAAGGAGGGGGGGCAGCTAAGGAGGTACTTCACTTTCCCCTTTGGGGGTGCGCCACGGGCGCTCTCAAAAAAAGGATGAGAGGGAGGAGAAGGAGGACTTGCAGGAGGAGGAGGAGGAAAAGGATGCCTCCTGAGGCCTCTTGTGGCTTCCTGGGGGCTTCCTGGGAGCTTCCTGTGGGCCTCTGTAGGACCTCTTGGGGGCTTCCTGGGGTTTCTTGGGGGCCTCCCGGTGCCTCTTAAGAGGCGTCTTGGCCTTCGGAGGCCGTTTGGGGGGCCTCTCTGAACAGTCGTGGGTCCTTCTTTGAGCGCTTCAGGGCCGTCTCAGAGGTCTGTGGGGCCGTCTTAGGGCCCTCTTGGGCCGTTTTGCGGGCCTCTTGGGGCGTCTTGGGGTGATATTTAGGGCTTGTGGGGCCGTCGTGGAGCAGCGGACGCCCGAATGGCGAGAACACTGAATAGTTCAGCTTAAGGAAAATCAGTGATTTGGGCCTCCTGGAAATTCTCTTAGAGCCTTCTTGGGACGTCTTGGGGGGCTCTTGGGCCGTCTAGGGTACATGTTGGGCCATCTTGGAGGCAGTTTGGGCTGTCTTGAGACCATCGGAGCTGTCTTGGAGTCCATCGTTACCGTCTCGAAGCAAATCCAAGCGTCGTCTTGAGCGGGAAGGCCGACGACCCGGGGAATCTCTGTGGCTCTCCGGGTGGTCGGTGGGCTGGGCCGGAGACCAGTGGGAATTTTCAAAAAGGATTTAACATTCTAGGCCTCCTTGATGAGGTCGGAGTAGATGGGCTTAAAGGATTGCGCCGCATCGCAGATGCGCCGGCGATGCGGCTCGATGTGAAACCCGACTTGCTCCACGTCGGCGTCGCCGATGCACCACCGATGTCGACGTTGCATCGCCAGTGCATCGCCGATACATCGCCGATGTATAGGCGATGCGGCGCGATCCTCCGACCCCATCTACTCCGATAAAATCGAGGAGGCCTCAAAACATTCAAAATTCCAGCACGCCAGGCACCCTTTTGACAAATCAGCATCGGGCGGCGGGTCGAAGACGCCAACGGCGAATCACCGCCGCTCCCTGCCTTGTGGAACCGCACATGCGGCCAAACGTTGGGCCGAAGTCCGACCACGCTGTTCAACTGTGTGTTCCCCCAGCCGTTATGAAACCCTTTGGGAGAAAACTTGTGAGAGGAAGAGAAAGGGGGGGAGGAAGAGGAGGAGGAGGAGGAGGAGGAAGAAGAAGAAGAAGAGGCTTATCATTGCGGCCCTCTTGAGGTCTCCTGCGGGCTTCCTTGGAACCTCTCGGGGGCCTCTGAGGGGCCTCTTGGGGGCCTCCTGGGGCTTCGAGCGGACCTCCTGGGGCTTCGAGCGGACCTCCTGGAAGCCTCTAATGGACCTCTTGGCCTTCGGAGGCTGTCTTGGGGCACTTTCTGGGAAATCATCAGTCCCTCTTTGGGCGCTTTAGGGCCGTCTTGGAGGTCTATGGGGCCCTCTTGGGCCATCTTGGGGCTTTATGGCCTATGCGGCCGTCGTGGAGCGTCGGAATTCCGAAAAGGCAAGAAAGCTAAAATCATTGAAACCAACAGCAAATCACTGATCCTGGCCTCCTGGAGGTCCTCTTAGAGCCTCTTGGGGCATCTTGGGGTCCTCTTGGGCGGTCCGGAGGGCATCTTGGGCAGTAGTGGGTGCATCTTGGACCGTCTTAGAGACTTGTTGGAGCCATCCTGGGCTTTTTTGGAGCCGTCGTCGCCGTCTTGGTGGCCGTATTGGCTGTTTTGGAAGCCATCTTGGGGCAGCCAGCAGCAGGAGAACCGATGGACTGCACGTTCTCCGCGGCTCTCCGGGTAGCCCGCGGGATTGGCCGGGGGCCCGTGGAAATTTCTAGGAAGGGCTCAAACAACCGAAAGTCCAGCACGCCGTGCGCCCCTTCGATGGATCAACGCGGGGCGGCGGATCGAAGACCCCTGCGGCGAATCACCGCCGCTCCCAAACGGCCAAACGATTGGCTTCAAGACCTACTGGAAGTCAATAGTTTTGGCGTCCTGGAGTGGAGGGTTTCTTGGAGCCCTCTTCGACCGTCTTGGGGGGCCCCTTGAACCGTCTTGAGGCCGTCCTGGGAACTGATTTGGCTGTCTTGGATACGTCTTGGCCGAACATGAAGGCATCTTAAACCATCTTGGAGGTGATATTCGACCATCCTAAGCGAACTTGGAGGCCATCTTGGGTCATCTTGGCAGCCTTGGAGGCGGGCGTTGTGAAATTGCCAGACCTGGGATGCTTATGGTTCTCTTCGAGTTGCCATGTCCTGTTTTTCCCTGCCGTCCGCGCGGCCAGCGGGATGGGCCGAGACATCATGTGCAACGTTTCAAGGAATCAAAAGAACCCAGCGTTCGGCATGCCTTGCACCCTTGTGGCAAGAATTGACAAGATCACAGGGGACGGCGGATGACGGCAAGCGCGCATAGCGTACGATCCGTTCGTGGGGAGAAGTTAAGCTAGGGGGAGTTTGAGGAGGTTGGCGTGTCAGGCCCCAGGGATCTAGTAGCCATATTGGCATTTTCGCTGAGGGCATCCTCAAAAAATGAGATGTCTTGGCATCGCTGGTGGAAGGCGTCAAGACGGCCCGGCATAGCCCAAAAAGATGGCTCTGACACGCACTACTTCCGCCCAAAATGGCGAGTTCGCCAAGGGCATCCTCCCATAAATGAGATGTTGTCGACGTCGTCGTCTTTGTCTCGGTTTTGCTCCAAGCGGCGATTTCGCTAGGGACATCTTCGAAAAACAAAGATCTGCCCAACATCGTCTTGGGATCGCTCTTGGAAGGCCTCAAGACAACCCAACATAGCCAAACAATACGGCCCAAGAGGGCCACAAGATGGCCCAATCTGGCTTCAGGATGGTCTCCAAGAGGGCCCAAGATGATCCAAAATGATTTCCACGACGGCTCCAGAGTCTCCAAGAGGCACCGAGACAGTCCAAGAGTGCTCCAAGACAGCCCAAGAGAGCTCCAAGACGACCCTCGAAGCTCCAAAAAGCCCCAGGAGAGCTCCAAGAGGATCCCAGAGGTGGCCTCAACGGGTGCAAATCAACTATCCCCTTTTAGGTTTTTGAGCATTCTCGCATCTTCAAGCGTCCCACAGGCCAAGAGAGCTGAAAATGCTACCGAGATCGCTCCAAGACAGCCTAAGAGGCTCCCAAGATGGCCCCGAGACGGCTCCAGAGGGCCCGAAGACGGCCCGAAGGTCTCCAGGTCCAAGCAGGGAAAACGCATGGTTCGGGAAAACCGGTTCATAGACGCCCCCGCCCCCATCGGCGCTTGTGATCGAGAATCTCCTCGTCGACGCGGCGGAGCCCATGACGCGATGCTCCCAGGACGAGTGCCGACGGGCCTCTCGGCCAGGAGCTCTCGCGGCAGCCGTGAGCGGGCTCGGGAGGACGAGCGACTGGAGCGCCGTGCTGGGGCTGCTCCGGGAGGTGGCGCGGCAGGGCGTGGAAGTCCAGATTGCGTCCTACGGCGTGGCCATCAGCGCGTGCGGGAGGGGCAGGCACTGGCAGCGGGCGCTGTCGCTGCTCGGAGAAGCCCGAAGAAGAGGAAGCGCAGGTCGCGCAAACATTGTCGGAGGTGTCCGCGCGAATGTCCTGGGTCGGCGTTGGATTCCCTGGCGGCGCCGCCCCTGGCCCGCTCAGCGCGACCGACCCAGGGACTCCGACCCAGTGCCGACCCAGGGACTCCGAGCGGGCCGCCACATGATTGTGCTTATGCCGTGTGTCCCTTCTTCTAGAAGCGGTGGGAGCGGAACTGGAGCTGGACGTCGTCACGTGCAATGTTGGAATCAGCGCGTGCGAGAAAGGAAGGCAGTGGCAGCGGGCCTTGTCATTGCTCAGAGAGCTGGTTGAAGCGAAGATGGAGCCCAGCATAGTAAGTTTCGCCGCTGGGATCAGCGCGTGCGGGAAACGCGGTCAATGGCAGCGCGCGCTGATGTTGCTCAGCGAATTGGGAGATGCGGCTCTCGAGCCCAACACGATCTGCTACAACGCTGCGATCAGTGCGTGCGAGAGTGGTTGTCAATGGCACCGTGCGATCTGCTTGTTCCACGAACTGGTGGGTGTGAAATTCGAGCCAGACGTCATCTGCTATAATGCCCGGATTGGCGCGTGCAAGGAGGATGGGCAGTGGCGCCAGGCTTTGTCATGGATCACTGAGATGCGAGAGTCGACAATACAGCTGGACGTCATCAGCTATGGAGCAGGGATCACTGCCTGTGAGAAAAGCCGGCAGTGGCACATCGCGCTAGCATTATTCACCGAGTTGTGCGGGTCGAGTTTGGAGCTGGACGTCACCTGCTGTAATGCTGGCATCAGCGCGTGCGAGAAAGCTGGGAAATGGCAGGAAGCGTTGACTCTGCTCGTCAAGTTACACGATGCGCGCTTAGAGCCAGACGTCATCTATCCTACAATGTAGCGTTCACCGCTTCCCGGATTCGCGAGCAGTGGCAGCGAAGCGGCCTTCTCCGGGCCGCTCCCAGCGGGCCCTCGGGCACTTCGGGCCGCCCCGGGCGGCCTTCGGGGCCGCCGCCGAGCCTTCCGAGCGGCCCCGAGCGCGCAGCGGACGGTCCTAGACTGCCCCAGATCGACGCGGCACGCCGCGGACGGCTCCAGGACGGCCCAGACGCCCCAAGCCGCCCCCTTGAGGCCCCCCAAAAGGCCCCCACGAGCCCTGAGGCCCCCCAAGGGGCCCCCACAAGCCAACAAATCGCCCCATTCCCGTAGGAAAACGTGCATTTTGGGCAGACTCGCTTTTTAGGTCGGCAGAGCGTCCAAAACGGCCAGATGAGCCTCCAAGACCGCCCCAACACCGCCCCAGAGGCACTCAAGAGAGCCCCAAGACGGCCCAAGAGGGCCCCAAGACGGCCCCAGGGAGCCCAAGGACAGCCCAAGACGGACCCCAGGGGGCACGAAAAGGCCCCCAGAAAAGCCCCGAGAGGGCCGCAGGAGGCCCCCAAGAGAGCCCCAAAAGCTTTCCCAAGGGGCCCGCACCACCGTCGCCTTCCGCCGCCCGCCGCCGCCGTCGCCAAGGGGTTCTCCTCGAGGGTACGCGGCTTTCCCGATGGCCCCTAGAGTGTCCGCCAGAGCCTCCAGCAAGCTCCCACGAGAACCGACACGAGCCCCGAGAACCACCCAAGAGGTCTCCAAAAGCTTTCCTTGGGGACCGCACACAATCAGAATCGTAACAGACGTTTGAAGGCCAGACGTCCGGCAGGAAGGAAATTCGAAAAGACCACGACAACCGCTGAAAAGTCTTAATCCGAGGTCGTCGTCGCCGTCGTCGTCTTCGCCCGAGAACCACCCAAGAGGCCCCGAGAGCCCCTAGAGTGTCCCCAAGAGTCCCCGAGGCCTCCAGCAAGTTCCCACGAGAACCGACACGAGCTCCGAGAACCACCCAAGAGGTCCCCAAAAGCTTTCCTAGGGGCCCGCACACAATCAGAATCGCAACATGCGTTTGACGGCCAGACGTCCGGCTGGAAGGAAATTCGAAGAGGCCACGACAGCCGCTGAAGGGTCTTCACCCGAGGTCGTCGTCGTCGCCGCTTGAGAACCACCCTGGAGGTCGCCGAAAGCTTCCCTAAGGCCTAAGGGCCCGCACACAATTAGAATCGTAACAGGCCTTCGACGGCCAGACGTCGAGCCAGAGGGAAATTCGAAGAGGCCACGACAATCGCTGAAGGGTCTTAGTCCGAGATCGTTGCGTCGTCTCCCGAGAACCACCCAAGAGGTCGCCAAAAGCTTCCCTAGGGGCCCGCACACAATCAGAATTGTCACAGGCGTTTTAAGGGCAAGATGTCCAGCCCGAGGGAATTTCGAAGAGACCACGACAACCGCTGAAGGGTCTTATACCGAGGTCGTCGTCGCCGTCGTCGTCGTCGTCGCTGTCGTCGTCGTCGCCGTTGTCGCCGTCGCCGTCGCCGTCGCCGTCGTCGTCGTGGTCGTCGCCGTCGTCGTCGTGGTCGTCGTCGTCGCCGCCGCCGCCGTCGCCGCCGCCGCCGCCGTCGCCGCCGCCGCCGTCGTCGCCGTCGTCGTCGTCGTTGTCGTCGTCGTCGCCGCCGTCGCAGACCTGCTCGCTGTCGCCGTCGTCGCCGTCCCCAGTCACTTCGGACCCCAGAGCCCCCCAAGACACCCCACCGCCCGACGCCAACATAGGTCTGGAAGCGCGATGCCGCGGCATCCCCCTCAACGAAACTGCTGGGGGCCCCCCCTCTAGTCCCCAACGCGCCCCCGAGACACCCAAGAGGACCAGAAAAACCACAGGGGGAATTTAACACCCCACCAAACAGGCCCCTGGAGACGTCTCGGAGCTCCCCCTGACGCCCCACAACCTTGTCCGCCAGCGACACGCCGAGGCATACCTCTCTCGCCGGCATGTTTCATGGCCCCCCCGATGGCCCCTGGAGTGTCCCCGACACCCTCCCGAGGCTTCCCGCCAGCTTCCCGCAGCACAACGTGGATTTAATCCACGCGGGTTCACACTAGTCACCTACAATGCCGGGATCAGCGCTTACGAGAAAGGCGGACAGTGGCAGCGAGCGTTGTCTTTGCTTGGCGAGCTATTCCTGACAATGGTGGAGTTGGAAGTCACCTCCTACAACGCTGGAATAAGTGCTTGCGAAAAGGGCGGCCAGTGGCAATGGGCGTTGTCGCTCTTCAGAGAATTACGCAACGTTAAACTGCAACCAGACATCATCAGCTTTAGCGCTGGGACCAGCGCGTGCGAGAAAGGCGGGCAATGGCAGCTAGCACTGTCGTTGCTAAGCGAACTGCGAGAGGAGAGGTTGCAACCGAATGTCGTGAGCTATGCCGCTGGAATCAGCGCTTGCGAGAAGGGCGACCAGTGGCAGCGGGCGCTCTTGTTGCTCGGGGCACTGCGCGGCTCGAAGCTGGAGCCCAACGCAATCTGCTACAACGCTGGGATCAGCGCGTGCGAACGAGGCGGGTGACGGGGACCGCCGCTGCCTCCGTCCGGCGTGTCGATTCAGCCTCTGAGCAGCCGGGCGGGCGCGGACATTCTCCCGGACCCAGGCAATGACCACAAAAGGGTCGTCATGAGTTTGTCGCAGTGTCGTGGGAGCCGAGGAGGATTGCGTCCTTGGGCAAGCTCAACCTGCAGCCCAGGCCGCTAGTCCTGTGCCACACCTGCACCCCCAAGAATTTCAAGGCGCTCATCTGGAGTACCGCGACGGCCATACCACAGAAAGCCAGGATCGGCACGATCACCCAATAAGCGCCAGCTTTACCGACAGAAGCGCGGATGCGCAGGAGCATCCCAGGGCGAAGGCCACCAGGGGCGCAAGCATGCCGAGAGCCTCTGGCGCTTAGCCGGTAGGGCCAGCGACAGAGCGACAGAAAGAACGTCGAAGGATCAGGCGGAGGTCGTCGGCGACCGTACCAGAGCCCGCCACCGAGCGAGGGGAAGGGCTCTACGGGCGCGGCGACCAGGCGACCTGTCCAGAGAGAGGTTGGATCCCGACTTCGTCAGCTGCAGCGTGTGGACGGGCGCGTACAGGAAAGGCTTGCGTGATGATGATCGGTCGTTACTGGAGGTGTCCTTGGCCCACGGTTCGAATAAGAAAGATATACAAAAAAATGTTAGCCCGCTTGAACCCCAAACAGTGTGATTCTAGCAAGCTATGGTGTGCAGTCTATGTGGAGCAATTAATCTTGACCGTCTTGAAGCTGTCCTCTCCACTGCTCGTGCAAGCATCCCACCCTCCCACCCGCAACTTGGTCGCAAGACCTCTTCAGACAAGACCGTGACGGTAGGTACCACATGGCACTTGGCCACGACACCGATGCCGACGACGACAGCGACATCGACGACGACGGCGCCGCCGACAGCGACTGCGACGACACCGACGACGTCTCCAATGTTTTCGACGGCGACAACGACGACGACGACACCGACGACGACGACAACGACGCCGACGACGACGACGAAGACGACGACGACGTCGACAACGGAGACGACGACGAAGGAGGACGACGACGGCGACAACGACGATGGAGGAGGGAAGACGGCGACGACGCCAACGACGAAGAAGGAGGAAGGACGGCGACGCCGACGACGACAACGACGAGGGAGGAGGGAAGACGACGACGATGACAACGACGACGAAGACGACGACGACGGCGACGAAATGAAAGGACGACGACGAGACGCCGACGACGGACGACGACGACGAGGGAGGAGGATAACGACGAGGGAGGAGTGAAGACCACGACGACGACGACGACGACGACGACGCGACGAAATAGGAGGGACAACGACGAGACGCCGACGAAGACAACGAGGGAGGAAGGACGACCACGGCGACAACGACGACGGAAACGACGACGACGCCAAGACGACGACAACGACGACGAGGAAAGACAGAAGACGACGACGGCGACGACGACGACGACGAGGGAGGAGGGAGGACGACGACAACGACGACGACGACGACGACGCAAGAGCGCGCGCGCACGCTTTTGTTGAAAGTCCGTGTTGCGAAACCTTGGGTTCTTGTAGGTTTTTTGGACGCACGATTTGGAAATCCTTCCGAAACCGATGGGTTTTGAAGGATTTCGGCATACGTCCGCGACGACGCGCGCGTCTGCACCTCGTCCCATTTTTTGCAGAGGATTCTCGCGACGGCACACGCGCAAGGGCGTTCGACAGATTTCGACATGCGCGCGCGCGCGAAGCCCGTGTGGTAGCATTTTGTGAAAATCTTGAAAAACGCATGGTTTTCTTAAGATTTCGCAAGACCTCACGCGGAAGTTTTTTAGCAAATCAGTGTTGCGAAACCATGTGTTTTTGTATGTTGTTCGGAAACTCGATTGCGAAATCCTTCCGGCACCGAAGGTTTTTGAAGGATTTCGGCATGCGCGCGCGACGACGCGCGCGCGCACTTCGTCCCATTTGTTGCAAGGGATTCGCGAAAAAGTGCTATGTTAGAACAAAAAATGTCACCGCATACTGTTTTTTTACAAGGGAACCGCAGGGGGGGGGAACCCGGCTTGGCTGGGATGGTACGAATTCATATTTAGGATGGACATGTGGTCAGAATCATATGTAATTTACAGCACGCGCGGGGGTCCCGATAAGTCCGGGGGGGGGGGTAGAATCTATTAGTCTTTCAGAAAGGAGAATGTACAATATGCAACCGAAGTGTTGCAACATATGTTATGCAATATTTAAACGCTGCAGCCCACGCGGTACAATCCATGTGGAGCAACATGTGCGTCGCCATGCATGTGGTGCAGTAGATGTGGTGCGACTTACGTTGTGCAATCTATGTTGTGCAACTCACGTGGTGCAGCATAGGCGCCGTAGCCATCCTGGCTCAAGGCCATGGCACCCTCCCGTTTGGTGCGGGTCCCGACGAGGCGGTCCGAGCACCAAGGGAAGTACTGGTCGGAGCCAAAGTCACAAGATGAATTTCATGATAACGGAGAGACACCCCAATCGAAGTTTTTTTCAGGGCTATAGGGCGAAGGGGCTATGGGGCTATAGGGCTATGGAACTACAGGCATATACGGCTATTGGGCTGTAGGTCTGTAGGGCTACAGGGCTATAGGGCCATAAGGCTGTAGGGCTATGGGGCTATAGGGCCACAGGGTTATGAGTATATAGGGCTATAGGACCTTAGGACCTTAGAGATATAGAGTTATGGGGCTCTGGGGCTATAGGGTTATAGGCATGTAGAGCTATAGGGCTGCAGGGCTATAAGGCTATGAGGCTGTAAGGTTGCAGGGCTATAGGGATATAGGGCGATATGGCTATAGGACTATTGGGCGATCGGGCTATAGGCCTATGGTGCTATAGGGCTATCGGGCTATAGGGCTATAAGATTATAGGGCTATAGGGCTATAGAGCAATAAGGTTCTAGGGCGATAAGGCTATCGGTCTATAAGGCTATGAGGCTCTAGGGCTATAAGGCTATAGGGTTATAGGGCTATTGGGCTATGGGGCCGTAGGGCTATAAGGCTATGGGGCTATAGGGCTATAAGGCACCCGGGCTCCTGGGCACCCGTGCACCCAGGCACCCAGGAAACCGGGCACCCGGGCGGGCCGCGGAAATCGGCTGCAAAGCTCACATAAGAATATGAATCCGCTCGGACCCCTACAGAGGCAAGCTCTGATTGGGGAAATTGCCTAACTCTGGGTTCGCATCGGCGCGCGGGGTGCACAGATGGCGGGCGGCGGGGCACGCGTTGGGAGCGGGGCCAAGGAGGTCGCGGAGGTCAGGGTGCTCAAGGCCAACCTCAATTTGTACGAGGGCGCAGGAGACCACGAGCTGAAGTCACAAAGGCCCCAGAGCGAGCCACCGTGGTCCTGGAAGCACAAGCATCACTTCAACGGTCTGCTGCCCAAGAAGACGAAGGAGTACGGAGTCGGCCTTTCTTGGGAGCGAGGTTCCGAAGGGAATCGTGTAGACCCTGGCCGACCTCGCCAAGCAGATCGACGAATACAAGGCGACGCGCGAGGCGGCGAAGCCCGTGGCCGTGCTGGCCCGAGAAGACGACGACGCGCTCGAGAGGGCGAAGAAGGCAGCGGCAACGACGGCAGAGAAGGCAGACGCAGCCCAGAATGTCTTGCGGGGGGCGCATGAGGCTCTGCAACAGGCACGTCAAGTGTAGGCGGCACCCCAGGCCAAGCAGACGGAGGTCAAGGCCAGGCTGCAAGAGGAGGTGGTCGCTAGACCCAAGACAACGGCGAACGACGGCGACCCAGCCCTGGTCACCTGCGAGCAGCTGGCGCGCAAGCTTCGGCACGGTGAGAAGACATCGGCCTCGCAGAACCTTTCAGCAGGTTAACGGGTGCGCTGGAGAAGCGCACGGCCAATGGCAGCAGGCATGGACGTCGACCAGGGGCCCAACACCAGGCCCCACCGAAGAAGATTAAGAAATGGATTGGCTGGTGGGCGATAGCAAACGGCCAGACCCAGTCGACCAACCCGATAAGCACAAGCGATGGATGGAGATTCACCTAGAGGCGTTCGCGGACCACGCCAACAGTGTGCGGAGAGGTTGATGACCTCTTGTACCTGGTGCCCCAGGGACACGAGCTCGGCGTCGGCGTGTTCGAGGGCATGGCGCCAGCCTGGACAATCGCAGGATGGGGACCGCTGGGCTGGCGGACCGAAGCAGATGAGAAGGAGGGGCCAGCTGGCACAAGAGGGGATTAAAGAAACCCACCAGAATGTGTCAGGCTGAGGCCGCACAACGGGCCAGCGGGACCGCAGCTGAGACGAGAGTTACGTCGCCAATGGACGCGTCTTGAACTTGCTCGGCGGGGCACTACCAGGGGCACCCACCCCCCAAGCACGTCGCCGAGGGAAGCGCCCTGCACCCAGCATTGTCTGAAGGGGCGCCGAAGGGGCGCCCTTCCCCCGCCAGCGCGCAGAACCGCGGACGAGGGCCAGCACGCCTAGAGCGGGTTTGCTGCGGGACCCCGAGCGGAGACAAGCGGAGCGGGGCAGCCCGAGGCACAGCATCGATAAGACGAAGAACGGCGCCATCGAGATCTGGACCTTCAATAATTCAGGATAGCCCAGTCCAAAGAGGACACTGCCTCGCATCATCGGGCGCCAAGAGGGGCCGCCAGCGCACCCACAGCGCCCGCGCTTCGAGGGCGCGCAGGAGGCCACGCAGGCGCGGGAGGAGGTCATGCGCAGGATCGAGCAGGAGGCGCGCATACGAGGAGTGGCACGGTCACCTGGCAGAGCCAGCCAAAGAAACAGCACCCTGGCGCAGGCAGAAGGGCGGCCGCGGAAATGGCCCGAGCGCACGCTGGACAACCCGAAGCTGGCACGCGGCAGGCCATGCCGAGGGCAAGAGCGAAGGAGAAGCTGGGCGCCTCGGGCAGTGGCAGCGAAGAGCGGCGCAAGCGCTTGCAAGCTGCAGTCGACGGGCGGTTCAGCCCCAAGGCTGCGGAGGCGAAGCCAGCGCAGAGAAGCGAAGAGGCGCTGGAAAAGCGGGCGGCTGAAGCAAGAAGACGCGAAGACATGGCGGAAAGGCAGAACCGCAGTCAGCGTCTGAGCGAGCGGAAGAATATGCTGGCGAGGGCCGCCTGGGGGGCGGCGGGAGGACTGCACCACCACTCTACGCCTGCCCCCTGGCGGCAGCCCAGGAGCGGCGGAGCTTGGGGAGGCGGCCAACCCCTAGAGGGCGGCAGCGGCGGCGGCCATGGCGGCGCTGGACGAAGCGCGGCAAGTCGGCCAAGCGGCCCAGGAGGAGGAGAGGCCGCGGGTCCCCGCGGAGCTCAAAGAGCTCCAGCCAATCAAGATGGCGTCGGTGATGGACATGGCAAAGCAGCTCAAGAACCGCACGAGAGTCAGAGCCGAGGGCCGGCACCCTTCCATCCTGGACGGCATCTCCGACGAAGGCACGCAGGCCGTCGTCGAGGCGGTCGCAGATGTCGAGCCCAGCCCGGCGTGGCCAAAGCAAGCGGGCCGCACGGTGGTGTTCCTCATCCCGAAGTCGGCCACGAAGGATAGGACGGTCGGCTCGTCGTCCACGCCGGCACGCGCATGGGAGTGGC